GGCCCCAAGAGCACTTCCAGCAGCAGTGACAGCAGCGGGCAGGACAGGGAGAGCTGCATTCCCAGGGAGCCGTGCCGTGGGGGTGTGGAAGGAGCGGGAGCAGGGACAGAGAGGCTCGCAGCAGTCAGTGCTCCTCTGCCATCCCCAGCGCTGGGTCTGTGCCCTGCTGGGTGTGCTGGGCAAACTGGGAAACTGGGACTGACCCCGCGGGCAGAGCCTGGCCCCGGGGCCAGGGAAGAGCAAACAGGAGCCTCTTGCACCCACTGCAAACACAACAGTTCTCAGGGATTTTCCGCCGGGCAAGGGGTTCTCTGGCTGATTCCCTTCCCCTCCAGCCTCGGGTGGCGTGGGAGCAGACTTTCTTAGGCTTACATCCCTTTTGGGTGTCCCTTTTTGTGCCACCTTCTCTTCTCCACCAGAAATTTTGCTTATTTCTGTTACCAAAACTGTTAGAGTTAAAAGGGACAGCCTTGGAAAGAGACGGCAGCATCCCTGGGAAGTAACAGTGATCTAGGGAGGAAAGGGAAGAGAACGGCCACTCCTTTGGATTTCCAATGGCACAATTTGGGGTGGGGCAGGCACTGCAGACAAAGAGAGCACATGGCTCTGGGGGGGGGGACACCAACGTGGGAATACTCATGAGCTTTGTCACTTTGATCGCTTCATCTGAGCCCCGAAATGGGGAGGGCAGGACCCCCAGCCCCGAGCAGGGGCTGTGCTGGGGGGGCACAGGCTGGGCTCGGTGGCCGGGGAGGGAGCGGAGGGAGCCCGGAGCCCTCTGGCTCCGCCGAGCCCGGCGCTGTTTACTGAGCTCTGTGGTTGGATTACACCACGTACAGTAATTCTCCTCGCACTGCCAGTAATTTCACTGACTTACCAAGCAGGCATCATTTCCTGAAAGTCAGCCCTGGACTTAGAGGAAGTAAGAGCCCTCTCGTCGTGACTAAACACTCTATGCAAATCTCCGGGCGCAGGACAGCGGCTCTGCCGGGCCCTTTGCCTCCATTTTCCCTCCCGCCTGCCGAATGTTGGTTTTTAAAGCCCCCGATGAGCCCCGGCCGTGAATGGACCTTTCCTCACTTTGCACTGAGCACCCTCCCCCTGCCGCTGCCGCCGACAGCCCCCCGAATGCTGCTCTAAAATGTCCCAAATGCACTTCTGGCTAAAGTTCCCGTCTCTCTACAAGGTAATGCCTGATTTTTTCCTGGTTTTTTTTTCCCGCTCCTCGGAATTCCTGGTGCACTTGGCTGTGGGCAGCCGGCCCCAGCTGCTCCCCGGGCGGGTGTCCCCGGCAGTTCTGCAGAGTTTTGGGAATGATGTCTCTCCGCGTCGGGCACCGGGAACAGATTTATTGTCCTGAAGATGGGATTTATATTTTGCTGGAACCTGCCTTGCTGGACGCTGTTCTGTCAGTCGGTCACTGAGTGTGGAATTTGGAGGGAAGGAGCTGTGTGGGGATTGATCCGTGTGTTTGTGTGGGTGTTTTGAGGGGTTTTATTTCCGAAGCAGATGCTGGGTGCAGGGAGCGAGGGGAACATCAGCCAGCCAGAGCTGAACCCTCCCCATTGCCGGTTTGTCACCCTGAATTTAGAAAACTTTTGGGGTTTGGCAGCTAAAAGATTTGATAGTGATTGTCTGCAGCTCCTGGAACATAATGTGCTTAATCTGTGATTTCTGAGGTGCCAAATCTCTCCTTGCTGACAGCCTGGCTGTGGTTGTGGGTGTGTATTTGGGTATATACATGGCTTTTTTGGTTTTTAATAAAACCCTCTCTCGCCTGGGTGCTGTGCTGTGCAGTCATCCAGAGCTGCTCTGCAGACACTGTTTCCTCAGTGTCTGGATTGTGAGAAAATAAAACGTTTCTATTGATGGCCAAAAATATTTTTAGGATGCTCATTCCTTCTGTATTTAGACTTCACCTGTTCTTTATTTTATTTATATCATTTATTTATGTCATTATTTTTAACACTTTGTTTTGACCAAAGGAGCTGAGCTGTTCCCAGGGGCTTGGAGAAAGGTTGAATATTTGGGCTGGTTTACCCTGATTTTTTTCCTGGTCTTTTCTAGGGAGTGAGCTGTTGGGTTTGATAATCTCAGTTTTGGGATAATGACAGGAATACCATGTGCCACAGCAGCATCAGTTCATCCTCTGCTCCGAGACCCACCTGCAGCCCTGCCCCCAGCTCTGGGTCCTCGGCCCAGGACAGGCCTGGACCTGCTGGGGCCAGTCCAGAGGAGGCCACGGAGATGCCAAATTCCAGGAATGAGATTTATGTAGAGAACTGTTGCAGAAAAACATCTGAAGTAAAAATCCTGCCTGGCAGGACAAATTCCATCTGTTGCAGAAATGCAACTTGTACTGAAACAGAAGTGCTGTTACTGTAAAACCTCATGTTTCCAATGAGAAATCCTTAAAATTCTGGTTAATCAGTCTGAAACAGGGACAAAAGAACTTGTTTCAAACCCCGACACCTGAGGATCCTGACCATGAGCTCTTGGTTGAGGTGATGATCTTTCTTTTTCCCCCCCAGGACACCAAGGCAGCTGCTCCAGTTTGGGCCAGATAAACCAGTGGAGTGATTAGTGCAGGCATGGCTTGTAGTGGTTGTGGTTATTTGTGGCCTTTTGTTAAGCAATTACTCTGGGTTTGATAGAAGCAGGGCCAATTTAGTGCCGTGGTGGTGGAAGTTCTTTGGGTGGGGAACCTGGCAGGTGATTAACTTTAGTGCTCTTTAGATAATGCAATTAGTTAAGACAAATGGGAGACTCTGGAAGTTCGTGACTAATGCCTTGTAATGCTGGGAGAGGATGGGATCACTGCATCACTTCCAGGACTGGTATTGTCCTCCCTCTGCCTTCCAGGCTGGTTTCCTCTCCCCAGTTCAGCCCAGTGCCCTGAGCAATGGAGGGGCTGGAGCCTTCTTCGCTGGGGGTGGAAGGGGCTGGGTTTGGGAGGGTGGGGGACACTTGCTGGGATGTCTCAGGTGGGGTCACAGGGCTTTCGCAGATCCTGCTGCTGTTCCAGCCCAGCCCTTGCCTGTCCTTGGGACCCGGACATGCAGTGGCCACTCTGGGCTGCCCCACAGCCTCCTGCTGCCATAACACGATGTGCAGATGTTTCCTCCTGACCCAACCTCTGTCAGTGCCACTTGCAGGAGAACAAACCCCGCTCAGAGGTGTCTCACCATGGCTCAGTGACGGGACCAGCCGGGGATCCTGCACAGGGCACTCGCTCTGGCCAAGGCCACGTTCACCCCAGTGTTGTTCTGCTTTCTCGAGTGTGAAACGGAGCCCAGAGATCCCCTAATTCTGAGGTGATAAATCTGGGTGCCTGTTCACCCTGCAGACACCTTGGTTTCTGGGTAATCCCAAAATAGCCCCAGAAATACCAAGAGCAAGAGCTGCACAGGAAGCGCTGCCCGTTGGGCACATGGCAGCACCCGCTGCTGGCAGGAGGTGCCACTGTGCTCTGCCAGACCCACAGACAGCCCTTGCTCCTGGAGTTCCTGGGTCCCCTGGTTGGTTTTTGAGGAATCCAACCCCCCACATCACACCTGCCATTCCTTTAGTGCCAGCGCTGCACACGGCGGCTTCAGGAGACATCCCTGGGAAGAGGGGAAGGGAACGTGTCCTGGAGGTTTAAACACTGAAACCTGGAACTTTGGATAGCAATTAGGAGGTGTCTGACCCAGCTCTTGGCCTGAAGCTCTCAGGAACAGCACAGCCAGGCTCAGCTGCTCGAGGGTTTGTGTCAGGCAGGGCTAAGTGACTCTTAAAACTCTTTGGCTGCCTTTCTGCCTGGAGTGGGAAACTGGCCCTTAACTAGAAATGAGCAGCGATTCCTCCTGTACCAGCCCCTGGCTCTGCTGGCAGAGGGTTATCACGCTGCTCTGGCTGGGCTGTGCTGACAGAGCTGACCCCTGTGAGAAACCACAGACCTGACTGGTGTTGGCAGAGTCTGCGCCAACAGACTGTGCTACTGGTCTGTCTGCCCGTCCCTCTGGGGTAGAGACTCATCTCCAGCCAGACCTGAGTGCTGGAAGTACATTGATCTTCAATAAACAGCAGACAAAGTTCTGCTTTGACAAAGTTTGAAAGTGGTGTTTGGTATGGGAGGAGGGCTGAGGTGATGGGATGGAGCCGGGGAAGGGGCAGGGATCTGTGCCACAGCCAAGGATGTAGAGCAAGAAGTGCTTATCAGCTCTTGGTTCTTACCACCTGAAATATAGAAATCAGACCAGAGGTTGATGTTAGGGAGGGGACTGAAGGCTCTTTCTGAGCTAAAGTCTGTGTGACTTTAGCTGGCACCAAATAAAACAATTGCAAACCCCCTCAGCCCAGGCACCAGAAAAAGAGCAAGGGCAGAGCCCGGTCCCTGTTGCTGGAGCACAGTCCTTGTCCAGGCTGAGGCTGGCCCTTGGGAAGAGGATGGGTAGATTTGCCCAGATTTACCTAAATGCAAACCCAGGTGACAGCAGCACTCCTGGGAGCCTCGTGTGGGCAGGGCCTGCCGGGAGGAGAGGGATGTTTCCCAGGGGCTCCAGATAGAGCCGTGTTGGAAATTGCAGCGAAAGAGCCACGTTGTGATCAGATGTGGCTGGTTCTCTGTGGGCCTCTGCACATGAATGAAATCCTGGAGTCCTTAGGGGGTCAGGCTGAGGCCTTTGCACCCCTCAGCAGCCTCTTTAACCAGGCACAAACTGGAGGGGACCGATGCCTCTCTCCCGCTCCTCCGTGTGCAGGGATGTCACAGCCCGAGTCAGCCCTGGCTGTGTACCCGCACTCCTGGCCAGGGGTTTTCCTGCTTTTTCAAGAAGCAGATTTTCCAACTGCCCCACAGAGCGTGTCCTCAGCCTCAGGTTCATCTCTGAGCTTTGTGGAGCGTGAAGTGTCGGGGCTGCTCATCTGGCAGCAAGAAATTAGAGCTTGCTGGCTGAGCAAGGAAGGAGCTCTCTGGCTTCATCCTGCCTCCTCTAACCTTGGTCGTGTCTCCATTTCAGGACTCTTCATACCTCGATGAGCTCTCCAACAACTCCCTCTTCTCGTCCCCTGCGGATTCCCTGTCGGACATCGCGGATCCCAAGGACTTCCTGTCCGCCGACAGCCTCAACCACGTGCCAACACTATGGGATGTGAACACACCACAGAACCCCATCGAGGTAGGGGCTGCTCCTCCCTCGTCCTCCCCAGAAGATAGGAGACACCTCAGGCTTCATCCTGTGGGGCTTTTAAGGACTTCAGAAACCAACCCAGTTCCCTGGGGGTGAGGTTGAGCTGTGATGATGCTGTTCTGCTGTTACCAGCTTCACTGGAGGAGGGAAGGGGTGAAGTGGTGACACATATTTGGTCTCCTGGGAGCAGAAGGGAATCCGGGCACCCTCAGAGGGATTCACACACTCTTCCAGAGTGCAGCACAGGCACTAGCTCTTTCTCCTGGCAGCTGTGGCAGGGAAGTACATCCCGAGGAGGATGTATCCCTAAAACATTCAGCAGGTCCAGTGTGACCTGGACAGGGCACTCAGGAGTGCTGAAGGGATGGGCTCCAGGAAAACCACCCTGACATGGATCATTAACTGCCCCCCCAGCAGCAGCACCTTTTGTTTGTTCTCCAGGGCAAATATTTCAGTTACAATGACTGAAAAACTGTCTCAACTTTAGACTCACCATTTGTGTTTACTTTGTGAGTCCAAGTCCCTGCAAGCTTTTACATCCCGGAGTTTTCCGGGGCGTGGGATCTCCTGGCAATCCCACAGCAGCACGTGGTCCTGGGCATATTCAGCAGCCCTCTGCCATCTGCTCTGCCTCAGCTGGGGGCTGACACGGTCACCAGGGGCAGCCACCTCCTCCAGGGGTTGTTGGAGCCACATCCTCCCCATCCGCTGGATCCGGTCCCGGCTCTCGCCGAGCTGTGCCGGGGGTTTCCTTTGCAGGTCACTCTCTTAGGAAGAATGAGGGAAAACACTCATTGTGGATACCTCAGGAGACAACCTGGGGTGCCTGTGCCATAGTCATTGCTGCATTTTGAGGCTCTCCTGTGCTCAGAGGCTGTATTTTGCAGCCAGTGTCTCTGGCTGTGTTGCCACGAGACAATCACACACAGTCTGCAAACCTAGGACCAGCAAAAAATTACTGGGAAAAGCTGTTCTAAATTCAGTGTGAAGAAAACAAGGGAGAGATAAGTATTGTGCAAGTGTGAGACTGACTGGTGTGGGCACAGCAGTGGCTCCAGCCTTGGCCCTGTCCCTATCCCTCTCCCCTGCTGTTCCTCACGTCCTGCCCTCAGCCCCTTTTGTCCTGTGGAGCACTTGGACTCAGATAAGGCCAATTAGCTCCTTGGAATTCCATTTATAAACAACTTCCTTTGGAAAGGAATCTCCAGCTATTTTAAACATTTTCTTATCTGTGTTTTCTGGAGACAGAGATGGTTTGGGCGGGGTTGTTGCTTTTTGGGCTGTTTTTTAACTGAGTGATATTTCCTGAGGAGGTGTCAGGGAGGTGCATCCTGGACAGGAGATTTTGGTTTCGTTTTTGCATGGAGGGGGCACTGTGGACCAGGACACTGGGTGAAAGGATTGTCAAACTGACTCATTGTTGGCAGCTGCACATTGGTACATGATATCAGCAGTTTGGATAATCTCTCCCTATCCTTTGCCACATCCTCACAGTGTAATTGTCCATAGAATTGCAGGAATTTTGGCTTTTGAGCAGCCAGCAGCCAGAGCAGTCACTAAGCTTCAGTACAAATGGAGCATCAGTCACGTTACACCCGGGCAGATTCATCCTGATCCATCCTGATCCGTGTGATCCAGGACATCACTCAGCTCTGACCCCACTGGGCTGGGTTATCAGGACTGTAGTTTTTCCAGAATTTCTGTTTCAGAGGCCCAGGCAGAGCAGGAACATCAGTCTCTCACAGTTCTGATGTGTGGGACATCCCAGGGGCCAAGCTGGATGCATCCTGTGGATCCCAGGTACAGGAACAGCCTTGTGCCTTGTCCTCTTTAAAAATAAACGTTCCAAGCTCCCTGAGAACCCCTGGACTGAGGTGCCCCGTGCTGAGTCTGGAGTGGGGTGTTGTGACTGAGGAGGAAAGGGCTGGAGGATGCAGAGCTGCCTCCTGTGGGGAGAGCTGTTATCCCAAGGAGAGGAGCTGCATCCAGCTGTTTGTCAGTCAGGAATGGGCAGTTAGGGAAGAGCTGCCACCCTGTGAAATATTTGCAGGAGCAGCAGACAAAACAGTTCCCTTTGTAATGGAGTTGGGAAATACCATTTAAAAATAGTCCCTGTCATATCGTGTTTTCTCTCATCCATCTCACACATTCCCAGTGTTTTTAAGGCTGGGAAGCACAGACTTACTTCGGAAGCCTGTGGCTGGAATTTTGGAGCTGCTCATGCAGTTTTTTATAGCTTGTTGACAGCACTTCACCCTTCTCCCAGCTCAGTACCCAGGGAAGGGATTTACACAGAGGGGGCTTGGCCTGGGACTGATTCCCTTCCCAGGGAAGTCATGGTGAGGTGGGACAAAATGGAGAAAAATGCAGAGAGGGAAAAAATGGAGTAAGACCGAGGCTGTGATTGTGCAATTATCACTCTCCCTCCTGCTTCCAGCCCCGTGTTCTCACAGATCTGTGTTCCTCTTCTCTGGATGCCCTTAGGACAGAGGGAGGAGAAAATCAAACTGGGAGGTGAGGGAGGGTGGAGAAAGGCAGGAATTGTGCAGGTGGATCATCCATCTCCCACTGCAGCTCCTGATCCCACCTGCTCTGGCCCTCACAGCACATTCTCACCTGTGTGGGTAGTTTTCAAATGCTCTGAGCAACCAAGGTTCCTGTTGCATCCTCTGCAGTTCCTGGGGGGGAATGCTGAGTGCCAGAGCTGGATCGGGATAGCGGAGCTTTGTACTTTGGGGACTGTGTGATGCAAAACCAGCCCTGTATTCACCTCCTACTGCTGGAGCTGCAAGAACACCTCCTGCCCTTGCAGCAGCTCCAGGCCTTCCTCCTGCCTGAGACCAAACTCTGAGCTGGGATTTGTAGGTGGGGATGTTTCACCTGCTCTCCAGATTTGCTGGCACTAAAAGCAGCTCTTCCGTCCAGCTTCCTTCTGGTAATTCTGACTCAGGCTTCCAGGAATGGAGGGTGGGTTTTTTTCTTTCTTCTTCTTTTTATTTTTTTGATTTTATTTAAAAATAGGAGTGTTTATGCCTAAGATCTTCCCCTCTTTCTCTGCTGCTGGTGGAGCATGAGGCTGTGTGAGCCTGGCAGTCTGCACAGGCTGTAAACTTGGAGTAGTGCTGCTCCTGGAGTTGCTGATTGCTTTGGATGTCACGAGCTGCTGGCCTGACCTTACTCGCTGTCGGGAAATTCCAGGGTGAAATTGTTTGTGTGGGAGCAGACAAAGGATCTCCTTGCCTGAGTCCCCCCAGCCCAGAGTGTCCTGGGAGCTCTCCCTCCTCGCTGTGGCACAGCAGGCTGGATGCTCCAGGGATCACACGTGTCCAAGGATCTTTGTTGGTGTATTTCTGTGCTTGCTGGGTTGGAGGGCTGAGAGTTTGGAGCTCTTCTTCACCTGCACCCTTTGTGTTCCAGCTGTTCTCATCCAGCACACCATTCCCTGGCCTGAATAGCTCCCATGACCACGTTCCTGCTGTCCCCAACACCCCACTCCTCATCAGCTACCAGGTGAGAGCCATGGTTGGCCTCTGTGGGATGGGACACCAGGCTCCTGGTGACATCCCAGTGCAGGGGGAGCAGTTCTGACCCTTTTCCCTTCAGAGGGAATGAGACAAGAAAACACAGGTCCCTGCCTTTTGCAGGAGTGTGTTGTATTTCCTGGGGTGGAACCTCACTGTGTTAAGGGACACTTTGGGCTCTCAGGACTTTGCCCTGTGCTGCTGGCACCACGCTGGTTCAAAGCTGTGCCAGGTGCAGGGGAGGGCACAGCCCATCTGAAAAGTGCTGCAAACATCTTTCCCCAGTTTGGTGAGGACCAGGCAGCTCATACAGCCCCTGGGGTAGGCCCCCGCTGGTGGTTTCCCTTAGTCTGTAAATGAGCTGGATTGTGTCTGGAGGGTTTGGGGGATGGTTTCAGTGGCAGGTTGTGGCACTGCACGTGTCCGTAGCTCAACATTAACGTTGGGTCAACGCTTCTCTCCAGTCTCAGGCTCCTGCAGAGGAGGAGGATGAGGGTGAGGAGGAAGAAACGGAAGAGTTGGGGCAAACAGAGACCTATGCAGAATACATCCCTTCAAAGTGTGAGTGTTGCCATGGGAAGTGCTGTTCACTCCATTGTGGACCAGCCTATTTCACTGCTCCCTTAATTTCCTGGGAGCAGTATCTGGTATTCACCATGGCACCTCCCAGGCTTGTGGTTTTCTGGGAAAACTCTACAGTGACCAGGGCTGCGGCCTGTTGATGAGCTCTGAAGTGCCCCTGGGAGTAAAGACCTCGACTTACCCATGTTCTGTTGTCATTTAGCCAAGATTGGGAAGCACCACCCTGACCTGGTGGTTGAGACGAGTACCCTGTCCAGCGTTCCCCCCCCTGACATCACCTACAGCCTGTCCCTGCCATGCTCCGTGGCTGACAAGGGCTCCCTCTCTGCACTACAGCTGGAAGCAATCATCTATGCCTGCCAGGTACTGCCTGCACCTTGCCCATCTCCTACACCTCAAGAAAACTGCCTCTGGTAGGGACAGGTGTCCACGTGGCTTAAAATAACTGTAATTCAGGTGGTGAAACTCCTCTGGCATTTTAAATGCCTTTCAAAGGGTTATTTGAAGCCAGGAGGTTCTGTGGGGTCTGTTTCCCAAAAAGGCAAGAACCCTGGGCTTTTGTTGTGGAGAGCTGTAAATTTTGAGGCCTTTTCCATGAACTGCCACTTGTGAGCTTGGCCACGACCCCTGACCCTTCCTGCCGTCCTTTGTCTGAGCAGGACATGCACGTGCATCGATGGGACGTGTGGAAGGGTTAAGGAGTGCTCACATCAAAGCTGTTAGCAAAGGCAAAAATAGTTTAATTTCCAGTTCTGTTCTTGATTTTGCAGCAACATGAAGTTTTATTGCCCAATGGGCAGCGAGCTGGGTTCCTCATCGGGGACGGTGCCGGAGTGGGAAAGGGCAGGACCGTTGCGGGCATCATCTTTGAAAATTATCTTAAAGGGAGGAAAAAAGCTCTGTGGTAAGTTGTTGGGTTTTTTTCTCTCTTTTCCCGTAAGACCTTGGAGTTAGTTTGGATCTAGAAGTAAGGAATTCCTTAGTGCTGATGTTGGCTTTAGAGTTGAGTCATGCTGTGGCCTTGGGTAAGTCGTTTCCACCTCTTACTGCCTGGCTGCTGCCTGTGCAATGGGGATATTCTGCCTGCAGCAGGGATGGAGGGTGAGTCACTGTGAAAGAGCAGGTTTTGTGCTCCTGGGGGTGCAAGGACCAGTCTGGCCCTGCTCTCTCTGGAGTCGTGGAGGGGTGTGATGGGCTTCCTGGGTGCAGAGCCAGGAGCGGGGCTTTGCTGCAGATCACACACAGCCTGTGCCAAGGGGCAGCTGTCAGATCTCAGGTTGGGCTGTGTGGGCAGTGGAGATGTGACAGCTCTGCACGGCTCCTCCTGCTTTAGTCAGAGCTGGTAATCACTGACTGCCTGGGGACATACCCAGCCCTGACTCCTCAAGGAGATACCCAGCCCTGACTGCTCGGGGGACATAACCAGCCCCAACTGCCTGGGGGAGATAACCAACCCCAGGAGGAGATAACCCACCCCAGGAGGAGATAACCCACCCCACTCCCACTTCACAGGTTCAGCGTCTCCAATGATCTCAAGTACGATGCTGAGAGAGACCTGAAGGACATCGAGGCCTCCCACATTCCTGTGCATGCTCTGAACAAGGTAGGAGAGGAGCTGCAGGGCTGCCCTGGATCTCAGCCCACAGGAGCAGTTGGAGGCTCTGCCTGGGCACGTGGGGCAGTGTCACCTCTGCCTGCATGGGGGCATTTCCCCCAGATGAGCAGATTAGAGGATTTTCAGGCTTTCTTCAGTTACTCAGTGATGAGGCTGAAGTGTTTCTCAAAAGCACCATCAGCAGTTGTGTGATGATTATTCACAGGGCTCTTTGTGGCCTGCTTGAGTCTTTGTCCAGTGTTTTCCAGTTCACTGAAACCCTCTCCTCTGGTTTTAATGGTATTGAACAACCAGCTTTTACAAAGTCCATAGAAACCACAGGTGTTTGACACCTCTGGATGCCCTCCACTAAGAGACTGAAAGGGATTTTGTTTTCAGCCCCAAAAGACTTTAAATGGAACTTTCTTCAGCTTGGGGCCAGGGGTTTTTCCCCTACCTTGGATTTCATTACAGGTGAGACCCACGGCAGTGGGACAGGCAACAATCTCACCTGGTCAAAGAGAAAAGGATTTTCTAGAAGGAATTGAGACAGGCAGGAGGGTTCAAAGCAGTGAAACACTCTAAACTATTGCTTAAAAAAATGAAGCACTTTTTTTGCCAGAAAATCGACGTCCTCGCGTGTTCCCCACAGTTCACTGCAGGCGTCCAGATGTGCTGACACATTGGCTGGGGCACTTCTCCAGACATTTACAGTCCCTGTCATCACCCTGTCTCAGTGCCAGCAGAGGCATCAGCTACTAACAGCTTTTTGTCTGTTCTGAGCTCAGACGGGGGTTTGTTCTGGGATCAGGAGTGTGTGTCCGGCTGTGGGCAGGGAGGGCTGTGATGTGCTGGGGACAGCAGTGATGAGTGTGTGTGTGCTCTGGTTCTTCCCTCCTGCAGATTAAATACGGTGACACAGCTACCTCAGAAGGAGTCCTCTTTGCCACCTACTCGGCGCTGATTGGCGAGAGCCAGGCCGGGGGACAGCACAGGACGCGCCTAAAACAGATTTTGGACTGGTGCAGGGAAAACTTTGATGGAGTTGTATCCTTAAAAAAAACCCAAACAGTCAAAAACTGGAGAGAGAGAGGGACTGCCACTTGTGATTGTGCTTCACTAGGGAACAAAGAGCTTGGGGCCATCTGAAGTCATGGGGAACTGCTGTGGGAGCAGCCCGGTGCCTGCGGGAGGTATTTTAGTGCTGTGAGCACATGAATCCCCCACACTCCTCCTCCTCCTCCTCCTCCTCCTCCCAGGATGCAGTTAAGGGGAGGAGGGGAAGAAGCAGCTGGGATTAACCTTTTCACATTCCACTCCCTCAGCATTACAAGACAAAACACACCTTGGAGGTGAAGGGAAAGGGAGGGGGAGGCGACTTAGGGTCTGAGGAGCAGAGGACTGGGCAAAGCCAGCAGATTCCATGTGTGGGGAACAAGTGGGTCCGTACTGGGACTGGGTGTTGGGTTGGATGAAGGCAGCTTGGCTGTATTTTCTGTCTGCTCCCATCCTCGGGATGAAAATAGATCCTTTCTCCTTAACTGACATTGCCCTGCAGATCGTGTTTGATGAATGCCACAAAGCCAAAAATGCCAGCTCTACCAAAATGGGCAAAGCAGTGCTGGACCTGCAGAACAAGCTGCCTCAAGCAAGGGTTGTCTATGCCAGTGCCACAGGTGAGCTGCTCTGCTCACGGGGTGGGTGTGAAGAGTGACAGGTCTCCTCTGACCTGGAGGCCACTCTGAGGTGTGAGTGTGTGTGCTGAGAGCACGAGGCTGTGTGAGGAGAGGTCAGTGGAGAGGAGCTCAGAGTGCCAAGATCTGCCTCAAGCCCCATCACTCGTGTCACTTGTAGCTTTTTGGCAGATCACACTAATTTCTCTCCAGTTTAACTTGTTCCTGGCCAGCTGTTCCAGCTGTGTGGTGACACTTGCCCACTCAGTGTAGGGAGGACAATGTTTGGAAAGGTCTCCTAAGGCACAGTGGCAAATGACAACCTCTTCAGAGTTCTCTTCACTTGAGTCACAACTATTCCCAGGTGCTGTGGGTTTGCTGACAGTGAATTCTGTCCAAACAGGTGCCTCGGAGCCAAAAAACATGATTTACATGAGCCGCCTGGGGATCTGGGGGGAGGGAACCCCATTCCGAGCCTTCGATGAGTTCCTGCACGCCATTGAGAAGAGGTGGGTCCTGTCCCCCCCCGGGCAGGGAGAGCTGTGGGAAGGGGATGCGTGAGCCAGGGGAGGGGCTGGGGCTGCAGTGGCAGCAGCTGGGGGTCACTGCTGGGGTCACTGCTGGGATCACTGCTGGGGTCACTGCTGAGGTCACTGCTGGGGTCACTGCTGGGGTCACTGCTGGGATCACTGCTGGGGTCACTGCTGGGGTCACTGCTGCGATCACTGCTGGGGTCACTGCTGGGATCACTGCTGGGGTCACTGCTGGGGTCACTGCTGGGTCCCACAATTGCTGCCCTCTCACAGGGGAGTCGGGGCGATGGAGATCGTGGCGATGGACATGAAGGTCAGTGGGATGTACATTGCCCGGCAGCTCAGCTTCACTGGGGTGACCTTCAGGATCGAGGAGATCCCGCTGGACGAGCAGTACAAGGCTGTCTATGACAAGGCAGCCAAGCTGGTGAGCTGGGCCCGTTGGAGTGGGAGGCTGAGGTTCACCCACGCTTTGGGCATGGCCACTGGTGTGAGGGAGGGTTTGAAGACCCTAAATGAGGCCATGACCTCAAACATTAGAAAGAAAAGGGGTACACAACGGTCAGCTGATGTAAAAAGCCACCACCTTACACTTTTTTGCTTCTGTTTGGAAGTTCCATATTTGCAAACCAGAGCTTTGTCATGCTGGTGCAGAGAATGACCAGATCATTCATTCAGCCCAACGCAGCTACATAAACACTGATCCTAAAGCAGATTATCAGCCCCCAGACTGCTCTGATCGCCTCCTGCACAGCAGGAATGACAGTGGAGATGAGGATATTAACTCGTGCCTCTCGCTGTCGTCTGCAGTGGGCAGAGGCCTTGATGGTGTTCCAGCAGGCAGCCGACTGCATCGGGCTGGAGTCTCGGAAGTCGCTGTGGGGTCAGTTCTGGTCGGCTCACCAGCGCTTCTTCAAGTACCTGTGCATCGCTGCCAAGGTGCGGCGGCTCGTGGAGCTGGCCCGGGAGGAGCTGGCCAGGGACAAGGTACTGGGGCAGCCCCACCAGCCTGACCCAAGGTGTGGTGGTTGTGCCCGTGTTTCCAGAACGTTCCCAGTGAATGGTGCTGGGGAGTTAATGTTGCCTCCTCTACCGGGGCATTACCCTCTGCTGGTGTGTGGTGGGTGTGGGGAGGCTGGTCTGGGATGGGATTTTGGGTCATGTTCAAGCTGAAAGTGTCAAAGGCCAGGCTGGATGGGGCTTGGAGCAACCTGGGCTAGTGCAAGGTGTCCCTGCCCATGGCCAGGGGTGGGACTGGATGAGCTTTAAGGTCCTTTCCAACCCAAACCACCCTGGGATTCTAGAAGAAGTACCAGACCCTTCACCTTGAGCACAGCTCTGTCCTTTCATCCACCTGGGTGCACCTTGGAAATTTTAGGCAGAAAATCCCTAGCACAGGTCTGTGCTCAGAGTCACTCTCTGTGGGGTCAGCACAGGGGGCTGTTGGATGCTGAAAGATTTGAGAGATGGTTCTTCATCAGGAGCCCTGCCATGGGCCCAGCATGGATTTATTTGGGCCAGGGTTCAAGGGGAGTACCTGGGTCTGGGAAATACCTCTTGAGCCTGGAGCTGTGCCCCTGCCCTGACCATCCCTGTGCCATCCCTCGTGTCCCCACAGTGCATCGTCATCGGCCTGCAGTCCACCGGGGAGGCTCGCACCAGGGAGGTCCTGGATGAGAATGATGGGCATCTCAACCGTTTTGTCTCTGCTGCAGAGTGAGTTAAAAATCCCTGTTTGCCTTTGGGGGTGCGTGGGAGGCCAGAGGAGTGGGAGGAAAGCTCCTGCACGGAGCACTGGCTGTTCTTGAAATGCAGTTTGACGTCACCTCCCCCTGTACCGTGGAGAGGACACTCAGAGGGGTCTGTGGGGCACTGTAGGAGCTACATCCTGGGTTTTGAAATCTCCTGTGGTCCAGACTTGCAGGAACAGCCTGATCCCACTCTCTACACACGTAAAAGAACTGGCAGGTGTAGGAGAGCCAGGAATGGAGCTCAGATGTAGTTTGTGTGTGTCTGGTTCTGGAAAATGAGGGTGTTGACATGAAAGGACTGAGCAAGACAATCTCCTGTGATGGCAAAGGCTGTGATGATGCTGTGAGGTGACATCCCTGGAGCAGGGCAAGGGAGGAGTTCGGATCCACCAGTGTTGGCTTTGAGCTCGTGTATGGGACAGGACCAGTGTCCTGGTTGTGTGGCCATCCCAGCTGACAGGAGAGCTGGCTGTGCCAGCAGTGAGCCAGCAGCAGGACTCGTGCTGCCCACTCAGCAGAGTGAGGCTCCTCCTCCCCCTCCTGCCTGCAGCTTCCAAAACACCAGCCCATCCCTGAACGTGGCTGAACCTGCACAACGGGTGACAAAAGCCTGGGACATGGGGTTGGGTTGTGTTTCCTTTGTAGTGCAGGGCTGTTTTCTTCTGGAGTGACTTTTGGTGCGTGTCTGGGTTAGGCCGAGCTTTCCTCCCTTGGTGCTGGGGTTTGGGTTGGTCTGTGTGACTCTGCTGTCTCCAGCCCAAACCACAGTTTGGTGACAGTGCACAGGGCAGGTCTGGCAGCTGCTTGAGTGATTTGGTCTCTTGATCTCTTGGATTGGTTTCCATGTCATGGAATTCAGGTGTAGAGGACTGTGTGGTCCCTGGAGCCAGGGGGTCCCACACTGTGTGACTGTCCCTGGCCCCAAAGGCAGGAACTCTGTGTTCCTCAGCCCTGGCCGGATCACTGAGTGTCTCCTGGCATCTGCTCAGCCTCCAAATGTGTGTCCTGGTGTTCCAGCACTTCGGGGGATTTCTGGAGGGGAGTGTGCTGGGAAGGAGTGGTTGGTTAAAGATGCCGAGAAATGGGGTTAAAAATAAACATTGTTCTGTGAATGGATTCCAGCCCAGGGCTCTGTCTGCAGGGAGACAGGGAGGGCGAGTGCCGGGAAATGAGCAGAACTGCACAGCAGGGAGGCTCCAGAGTGTTCTTTTGGGCAGGGTCACCCCAGCACACGGGACAAGGGGCTGTTCTTGGTGCCACAGAACTGCAGTCACAGAGCTCTGTCCCTCGGGGGAGCAGTGTGGTCCCTGTGCCCTTCAGCCCCTCACACTAAGGGTCCTGGAGCTCCCTCCCCAGTTTCCAATGCTCCCTTTTCTCACCCAGGGGAGTTGACATGTTCATCCTCTCATCTGTCACTTGCAACATTTGGGTTTTTGAGTTTTTTGGGGTTTTTCTCAAGCAGAGCTTGTTCACTACCTCCTTCTCATTGCCCTGAGGGTTCATCCACACAGTCAGCTTTAAACATTTGCTCTTTGATTTGTAGAACTGCCCACAGAAACCTTTGGTTTTCATTTTTTCTGATGTTTTTTTCCATTCACCTGAAACCACTACGGACCCATGTTCAGCCACTTGGTTTTGTGGGAAGCAGGCCCACAGCCAGGGAATCAGAGGGTTTGGTGGAGCACATTTGTTGGATGGCCTGGTGGTGGTCTGTGCTCTCAGGGCATGGAGAGGGGCTGGACACTACTGGGACTTACTGGATTTTTGATGTAGCAGCTTCCCAGTGTAGTGTTTCCCATTTAAAACTCCCTCTTGGTTGCTCTATAAAGCTCCTGCAGCCTTGACACACTCTCAGGCTCCAGGAGCTGTCCTGTATCCGGGGCTGGCTGAGCCCGTGGTGGCAGCCATGGGGCAGGATTGACCTCTCTTCCTGGCATGTGGGGCTCTCCCAAATACACACGTGGTACTTGGTAACTGGCACGTGTTCCTGGTAGCTGGAATAAATTTTGCATCTTACTTTCAGAGGCGTCTTTCTATCACTAATTCAGAAGCACTTTCCTTCAACCAAAAGAAAGAGAGAAAAAGGAACTGGCATTAAAAGAAAACGTAAGAGCTCCCTCACTCCCAGCCCAGCCCCTGCCTCCTGCCCTGCTGCTCCCCCCCAGCCATCACTTGTTCTCTGCCTCTTGCCCCTCTCCCCACTCCATGCTTTTTGCTGCTCTCCTTGGTTTCTGTTTGCCCTCCCACACGTGTGTCGCTCCTTTGTCCAGAGGGCAGCAGGTCTGGGTCATCCACCCTTTTCCTGCCTCTGCCCCACTGCCCTGTCCCAGTGCAGGGCCTGCCCTCTGCCCCTACCCCATGGCTGTGCCCCCTCCCCTCAGCCTGGGCTGGGGGCAGATGGCACAAGGCCTGGCTGGTGTCCGAACCCTCCTGCAGCCAGAGGGTTCCTCCATGACACCCTGCATAGGGCATTGCATGTGTCCTGGGGAAAACAATCACTTCCCTGCAGATTATTGGCTGTGGCTGCAGGTAAGAAGAGTTTTGGGATTTCTCCTCTAGTGGGATGTGAGAAAGGGGGAAGAGGGGGCAGCAGCACTGGCAGGTTGTGGAGCTGGTCTGTGAACCCTCTCACGTAGCGGAGGCACGTCTTGCTGTGCTTGGAAGCAAACAATGTCCCAAAACACTGGCACCTTCCCATGTCCTGCACACTCCTCTGTAAGCAATCCCTTTGGATTACTTCTCTGAGGAGCTGGCACTGCTCAGTGTCCATCCTGACATGTGCAGCCAACTTTCAGCCCTGCTCAGGAGTGCCTTGTTCTTCCTTTCTCTCTCTTCCTTTCTCTTTCCCGCTCTCCCTCCCTCCCTCCCTAACTGCCCCCCGCCCCCGAGGCTCTGTTTTTGTGAGGTCAGCCTGTCATTTGGGGCAGTCTCAGCTATTTTGGGGTTCCTCCTCCTCTCTCTGAGCTGGCCCTTGCTGCCCCGTGCTGGTGCCTCCCTCGTGACCCGCTCGCTCTCGGTGCAGGGCGGCCGCGGGGCCGGTGGCCCAAGGCTCTGCGGGGCCTGTG